CCCCATCCATTACCCATCCATCCATTATCCATCCATCCATCCATCCATCCATCCATCCATCCATCCATCCATCCATCCATCCATCCATCCATCCATCCATCCATCCATCCATCCAACCATCCAACCATCCATCCATCCATCCATCCATCCATCCATCCATCCAACCAACCAACCATCCATCCATCCATCCATCCATCCCTCCATACAACCAAACCTCCATACAACCAACCAACAATTCCTTCATTCATCCATTCAATCATCTGCAAACAAACAACCAGGTTTTGCGAAGAGTGCTAATAATCACGACAGCTTCACCATGAGGCAGAGAAGTCAATTTAATCCGACATGGGAGCAGGAAACATCTGTTTGCCAGCTTTGCTCAGATCTGGGAGTGTTTCCGCAGGGAAACAGTAAGCGATGGCAGCAGGTGGCTTGTTTTCACTTGTTGAAGCTCCTGAAAGACTCGTCGCTGAGCAGGTGCCGAGGTGCGACTTCACAACGTCAAAGTGTTGCGTTTGCATTCGGTGGGGGAGAATTTACACCACGTTATTCTTTCAAGACTCAAAGTAGCAGCGGGGGGTTAAAACACTTCCAACTCTTTCTCTTCTTAAGAGGAACATTTGCAGCTCCAGGGAATTTTACGACCAAAAGCAGCTTCAGAGAAGAACTGCGGCGTACTGCAGAAACACAAGCTGCTAGACTAAAATCAGGACACCAGCACATCCTGATTCTGATAAGACGCTGACCTGACTTTCACCCCTTCAAAAGGAAAATTCCCAACAAAAGAACTTTATCATTTGTACTTCAAATCATGCCTTCATGTAAAGGAATTCACAAAAAATGATCATCCTTAGATTGATTGCATTTTAACCAAAGTTAAGCATCAGCACCACACTTATTCTAAACCAAAGTCTCTACAGTCTTTGCCCAAACTGAGTCATTGGAGTTACCCATAGCTAATGTGAACAATTCTAATAGGGGAGAATAAAGCTACGCTATTGGCATATTCAAGAATTTACACTTAGCTGATGATTGATTATAAAGTGTGTTTGACAGGGAAAGAGAGAGAGAGCATTGGACATCTTGAGCCTTGAGCCTGGGGCTCCCTCCCATTTGAAGGGCAAGAGGGGAGTTTGAGCTCAGGTAGGTCTCGAGAACTCCCCTGCTAATTTATAGCTAATGACAAATTAGGGATTGCTATGAAGAGTAACTAACACCCGATTCAGAAGGGGCTTCACCATTAATCCTTGACGAAGGGCGTGTCCGAAGCTTGGGCTGACGCGATCATCATAGCAGCACAGCAATAGGCGACTGTCTGAGCCGGGGTATTTGCATAAAGTGATCTGATTGGCTGACACTTCCGTTGGTGCTTGGAAAGTTGAAAAATTCCTAACTTCTGCAGCGAGCAACGCGGATGAAGTGCCGCAGACGGATCCACAATTCAGTTCGGCGATGGAACCATCAAGTATTCTGTAGGTGGATAGAAACATAGCTACTCACCATAGACGATGACGGTGGCTGTGGTGCTCCTCCGTTTGGCCACGATGTTTTTGGCCACGCAGGTGTAGTTGGCGGTGTCTGACAGACGGGCCTGTTTGATGATCAGGTTGTGGTCGATGGTGATGTAGAAGTTTCTGTCATCTGCAGGGTCGATAATCTCCTCGTTCTTCAGCCACTCCACCTACAAACACACACACACACACACACACACACACACACACACACACACACACACACACACTGTGTTAAGACTTTCACACTATTAGATTAAAGGGGACCTACTGTCCTATGCAGAAATCACTATTATAATCCACAGCCGAATAGAACATTCTCATTCTGCAGACAGTCTTTAACTATTTTCTCACGAGTGAAATGTTCAGTTTTTCATGACAAGTCATGTAAATAGCGAATACGAAATGGTGTGACTCTAAAAGAGGCCCAAAACACATCCATAAATCATTAAGGGTGCGTTCACACCTGCCTTATTTAGTTTGATTGAAGTTGGTTTTCCCTTTTGGTGCATTTCGTTTGGGCAGGTGAGAATGCAGCAATCGTACTCGAGTGCGCACCAAAAACAGACCAAATAAGCGTACCGAGACCTGCTTGAAGAGGTGGTCTCGGTACGCTTTCAAACGAACCCTGGAGCGGTTCGTTTGTGGTGAGAATATGATCCGTACTAAAACAGGTCCAACCGCAAAAAGTACTGCACATAATTGGACTAATCCAGCTGCCGTAGGCCGATGCGCTGTGCATTATGGGATGTGGAGGAAAAATATTTGTTTACAGCGCTTTACCAACAGAGAGAGAGAGAGGGGGGGAAACACTACCTGATGGATCATTGGTAGTATTTCCGCAAGATGAGCATGTCGCAGTTTAGCTAAATTAATTCACGTCTCCTCCTGAAGTGACGAGCGATGCATTAAACACTGTTTTCCAGCTGCGGCCGCGCTTCATTTTCGTAATGTATAGTTTGTCTAAAGCAGGGATACAATCAGCCAGCGCAGTCGCCCCTCCACAGTAAAAGGTTTTGTTTACCTGCGGGAGTTTACTGGCATTTTCCCACACATGAATTCTGACCAATCAACAAGCAGTTTAGGAAATATGTTCAACAACATCTGGCCAATGAGAGATGTGGGTTTTGTCAGATGACTGCATTTTGGTTCGTTTCAACTGGTTCGGACCAAAGCCAGCAGTGTGGTGTGAAAACGACCCAAAGACGGCAGAAGATGCAACGATGTATCATTTATTGCCCTTGGTCCGGACCAAATCAAGCGAACTACAGATGTGAAAGCACCCTAAGAAAATAAGGAAAATTCTTTTAGACTATGCATTTCAGATTGTTTTTCCCCTCCTTAAAATATAAATATATAGTTATATTATATGCAGGGCCGGCGCGTCCATAGAGGCGACCTAGGTGGCTGCCTAGGGCGACAGTATAAAGAGGGCGGCATCTGCGACACCTCCCTTACCACCCGCATCCTCAGATATATTCGCGCATAGACCTCAGAATAGAGAGGGCGGCGTCAGCGACACCTCCCTCCATCAGCACCCGCGCGTCCTCAGTTATATCCGCGCATAGGGCGGCAGAATTGAGAGCGCAGTGTCTGCGGCACCCGCGCGTCCTCAGTTATATCCACTCATAGGGCGGCAGAATAGAGAGCGCAGTGTCTGCGACACCTCCCTCCATCAGCACCCGCGCGTCCTCAGTTATATCCGCGCATAGTGCGCTGGAAAAGAGGTCCGCAACACCTCACTTCATTTTCATAACCGGTCACTTTCGTTTTTTACATTGGGGTTGAGGGCGGCATGATCGTCCTCTGCCTAGAGCGGCAGTTCAGCTTGCTCCGGCCCTGATTATATGTTATATTATTATAATCAGACTTGATCAAAACAGTCAGCAGAAACACTTTGATTGACATTCTGCCTTTTGTATGTGTCATCAGAGGGGGAAAGCCCCGCCCACTAGTGCCCATCTCCCCTCGTTAGCATAAGCAGCAGCCCTGAGTGAGAAGCAGCCGTCTGTCCATTAGCCATTAGAGTGTTTGAGCTGCTAAAGATAACGTCAGCATAGACTAAGAGGATTATAGATGTGGAGCTTTAGATTTGACCATTTTCACTCACAACAATAGTCCTGTTTTTAATCTGCCACTATGCTGATACACAGGCATGTGTAGCTCCGCCCTCTTCTGAAAAGAGCACAGTCGCATTTGAATTTAAAGCGACAGTCAACAAAATGCAGCAATTAGGACCAAAGCCTAAAAGGGTCAGCTTTAGAGAGTTATACAACAACAAGCTGAAACTTCACACACACACACACACACACACACACACACACACACACTAGAGAGATATCAGAGACGTATGAAGTTAAACTTTGTAATGATTACACATATCAGATGTTCTGAACTGTTTAATTATAATCCAGACTCTACATTGCAGATCCCGAGCTGTGACTACTGCAGATTGCGATATCGACGCTGAAGCGATATACACTGCGCACAGACACACGAGCGCTGCAGGGAACAGACCATAATCCGGTTTGAACTCATAAATCAGGCTGACAGATTTACAGACGAGCTTCCTCTTAGCTTTCAATAAAGTCGTATCACGGCGGAAGTGTTGATGTGTGTGAAAACGGCTCCATAAAATGTCAATATCGATCACGTCTCCTCTTTATTTCGCCTCAACAAAGTCACACATGGGCCTGACAGATGTGAGGAGGTAAAAACAGTATTTCTGGAAGTGCTTTAAGGCTCTTTGACCTTTTATTATGCGCTTCCTGATGCCAAATGGGCTCGGTATTGAACCAGGGGTCGCATCCGCTGAGAAAGTGACTGTTTTAAAGCGATCTGACTGTAAATCATGCAGATCCTCCTCTCCGCTTTGGCAGATGGAGCAGAGGATGATCTAACACTCTCAGGAGTGCACTGAACTGAGATCAGCATCTGCAGTCATGTGACCAATGCATGACCAATAACAGCTCATCACAAGAGATCACAAGAAAGATCAACATATTTTATAATCACGTTAGTTTTAACAATAACAAATTTAATAATAGTTTTAATAAATAATAATTTCTTTGTCATGATGACAGCACATAATATTAGACTAGATATTCCTCAAGACACTAGTGTTCAGTGTTAAAGTGACATGTAAAGGCTTCACTAGGGTAATTAGGGTAAAGTTAGGGTAATTAGGCAAGTCATTGTATAACAGTGGTTTGTTCTGGAGACAATCCAACACTAATATTGCTGAAGGGGTGAATAATATTGACCTTAAAATGAGTTTAAAACAATTAAAAACAGTTTTATTCTAGCCCAAATAAAACCAATAAGACTTTCTCCAGAAGAAAATATATTATAGGAAATACTGTGAAAAATTCCTGAATCTGTTCAACATCACTTGGGAAATACTTGAAGAAGAAAAAGTGCATATTACGCACGCATATATATGCAACACAGTGGCACAGTAGGTAGAGCTGTCACCTCACAGCAAGAAGGTCACTGGGTCGAACCTCGGCTCAACTAGTCTCAGTTGGTGTTTCTGTGTGGAGTTTGCATGTTCTCACTGCGTTCGTGTGGGTTTCCTCCGGGTGCTCTGGTTTCCCCCACAGTGCAAAGACATGCAGTACAGGTGAATTGGGTAGGCTAAATTGTCCGTAGTGTATGAGTGTGTGTATGAACGAGTGAGTGGATGTTTCCCAGTGATGGTTTGTGGCTGGAATGGCATCCGCTGTGTAAAAACGTGCTGGATAGGTTGGCGGTTCATTATGCTGTGGCGACCCCGGATTAAAAAAGGGACTAAGCCGACAAGAAATTGAATATTATGAATGAAT